ACTTTATTATATAAAATAATTTACCAGATAAAGAAAATTATAAGTGTACTTAAGATTTGTGTTGTCATTTTGTCATAAAATCTCTTATATATTAAAAGAGAAGAATTAGAACAATTAAGGTAGACACATGGTCCATCTAAATAAATAATACATTTTTATTAAATTAATATAAATTATTTATATTTTCAATTTTTTCTTAAATAAAAATTACGGAATTGCCTAATGTGCATAAAATATATATGATAATTAATAATTTTGAATAGTAAATATTTAATATAAAATACCATCTACCATTTTAGTTTAACTTGAAATTATTAAAACTAGATTTGTGCACCGCGCTACGCGCAGTTTGTATTTTGTAATTGATTTTATTTAAGTGTGCCGCGGTTCATATGGAGACGGATTGTTACGACCTGGTAGACATGATTGATAATCCTACTGACTGGCCGGCCTTCGCCTCCGAGCTAGTCTCTTTCCGACTTCTACAAACAAGTTTCTTAGAGTTCAGCATAACCCATATTCCGAGGTCTAGGAATTTGCGTGCAGATTCTCTCGCCAAAGAGGCGAGAAATAGTGGTATTCTCTTTTCCCATATAGATCAGACCCAGTCGGACAGAGCATTTCTACGGAACGGCTCAAGTCTGTCTACCACTTGATCTTACAAAATGAGCGTCGACAAAAAAAAAAATTGATTTTATTTCAACTTTTTTTGAATTATTTATAATTTCATGTTTTTTCTACATTTTCATTTTCCGTTCTCCAGTTATAAATGTTATAGAAAAGTTTTTTTTAGAAAAGATATATAATTTTATATTTTAATATATTCTTAGTAAAATTTTAGAAAATATGTGTGTTTATTATTTTATTGGCTAAAAGTATTGAAAATAATTAATCATACTAAATGTATTTATAATCAAATTTAATATGTTTCATTACTACGTTAAAACTTGAAAACATGAATCATTAGAAAATTGGGAGAGTATGATATTTAGAAGAAAGCTATATTCAGAGAGAAGAAAAACATATATAAAATAGTGTTTTGTTATTTGGATCAGTGTAATCTGATAACTATTTACATAATTAATAGAAATGAAAATGGTACAACTAAGAATTGAAATAAGAGAAATTGCAGAGCATATACATACATAAGTGGGTAATTTGCGACCATGGATTTCGTTATTTCACGATGACGTGATTTTTTTTAGTGGCAACACTACCCCTAATGTTTAGTTCCTTCTGCATAATCTCAAAGGAAATAAAACACTCGCATCTCTACACACGCTCAGTAGAGCTTATTGAACAAGCTCAAATATCGACAACACTCTTTTCTTGAAAACTTAAAACACGGTTACCAAAACCACTTTGGTTCCTCCGTGAAATACTTCATCGCTTCTTAACAATATTCAAATGCTCAGTATAAATCTTCATCTTTGCTTCTTAATCTCTCAAAACCCCAAGCCGATTCACTGAATTTTCGCCGAAGATATTTCAATAAAACCCCAATTAGTCGAATTTCGCCACCAGAACGATAAGGTAACGACGGTCTAGTTAATATAATACTTGCTTGATGTTTATGTGTTAACGTTTATGTGTATATTCCGATGAAATCATCATCATTCTGTTCTTCTCTTTTCCCAGTAATGGACTCTGTTGATTTACCCCATCGCATGTTCTTTGCCGGTGAAGAATCAGTTGGTCTTAGAGTGACTCCATACCACGCGAGCACCAAGCCTTCCAATATGAAATGTTTACAGCATGTCCCCCCGCATCACCTGCCTGAAATCTTTTGGCCGCGGACCAACGCCCGTCCCCGTGAACTGTTGCTTCAACATGTCGCCAATGATGCTTGATGTCGCTTGTTTTTGATATCCAGCTCGCTCATCCATGCTACAACTGTGTGTCCCCCCCATCTTCCACACTTCGTACATGCTAGATCCCTTCACGAGACCTGCATAAACCCGCCATTGAAAAGATTCACCACAACACTCCAATGACATCACAGAAGGCAATGATCTTGCACAACGATAGACAAACTTATTTGTGATGGCGTACAAGGCCATATGCTGTTTGAACTCCTCTCTATTCTTGAAAATCTTGCCAACGTAAAGATCCTTATCACTTGATCCTACATACCCTGCACACATCCAATTGTCCTTGATCGAAACATTTTACATATCCAGTGCCACACAATAATTTAACTAGCTTCTTTGTAAAATAACCGTACAACTACGTAACATTACCAACTAACCAAATAAATAGCATCATGACAATCGTGGTGTGTTTTTAACTATATGTCATACCCATTCCTCATTTTTTTTGGGGTAAAACTAACCAGATCATTGTGAATCAAACTCAGCAATAGTGCTTTTATCAACTAGCAAATGTAACGCGGTCAACCGAATACATTAAGAACATATATTATATTATAATAAAACATAGCCGTTTTCTACAAGACATAACAACAAAATAAAGCATAGCAATAGCTTGGTAATACACTACATGTTAAAATTGGTCTTCCAAGCCCCATTATAGCCGAACAACAACTTACTTAGACGTTACACAAACAAAATAGACGGCTACGGTTGCACTACTTGCCGACATAGTTTTATGATTAACATAAACTTAGTATCGCAAACCAAATGATTTTAACGGTATCAAAGCAACCATGTCTAAAAACCATCATCATCACCACTCCCTTCAGAAGATGAATTGCGGATAGTGGTGGGAACATGTTTGGCCACCTCATCCTCCGCTGTCCCGATGCAACCTATAGTGAATCCAAGTTTGGGTGGCGACTGTCAATACTCTTTCCTTTAGAGGTTGCATGCTCTGCAGCTGGTGTGTGAGATGGTCCCGCGACTGGACTCAAGCTCTTACTACATTCTCCTCGCATGGCTTCATACGAAGGGCAGTCAGAAATTAGTCCTTTTCCAACCCACATCTAATATAAAAGCAATTATAAAATAATATTCTTATATAGGATTACCCAAAAACTTCTCAAACGCATTAAGCAACTCATTCCCCATCTCCACGCCAGTTGCGGTCCTGTTAATAAACATCCGTATATTATTAATCTTAGCCCAGTTTTAGTTTTCTTAAAAAACAAATATACGCACTCTAACAGCAGTACAACACCGTATGCATTTGATATTGGAACATATATGTTTCTACGTAGCCGTATAAGTACACAACTCACTCAACCATTATTTGCTGTAAAACCGGATAAGTCCACTAGTAGTACACGACAATCTATACAAATATCCATATTTATATATCTTAGACGGTTCTTAGGTAACTTAAGGAAAAAAAAACCTGTGGTAAATATCCGTATTTATATATCTTAGCCGGTTCTTAAATAACCTAATAAAAATACCAGTGGCTTACCTTCAGGGTTAGACACCGGAGCTGGTTCAGCTTCAGCCATGTCATTGTCTTCATCATCTATCGCAATTATCTCCCGCGCAATAGCTTCATTACACTGCTCGGTCTGTCGTTGCACAGCGTTGGCTAAGTCCATCTCAAGATCAACCTGGTGGAGAACCATTATTACTTGCAAAGTGGTCGGTTACATCTGATTACGGATGCTACACAGATACAAGCGAAGTGTATGTAAACGTTTCCTAATCATTACTTTCATGGTACTATACCTAACAAACATTTCGACTCCCGGAGCGCGTACACACAAAATGTACACACTCCACTATGCTCCCTCGGCGCGTACACCAAAAGAAGAGCAATAGGGGTTTCACCGTCTTTTTTATCCCTCATCAACTGGGCCATCACTTTATCCATGGCTGCAAATTATCCCACTCCAAATGATTTTCGGTGCAAATGCCTCTTGAAATAATATAAACACATATTTGTTTCTTTGGTTTTCTTGATGCCTTAAAATCCACATACCTCTGATGTGAATACCCAATGTCTGTTTAATGATGTCCAAGACTTTTTCTTTTGAAACTTCCAGCATATCTATTGATATGTCTAAGTCAAATTTTATAGAGGATTTCAAGGTGAAAATGAATTTTTCTACAATGTTTGTTAAATAGTTATAATTAAGCATTGCTTATTGTTATTTAATAAAACAAATGTTTATTTGTAACTGAGTCCATGTGAATGGAATAGATGTTGAAGGCATTAATTAAAATCTTTGGCATCAACATTTTTTCTATGTGAGAATTGTATATGGATTTAATAGTAATATATTTATTATTTCTTTTATTTTACATATTTGTTTGTTTATTGTGTTTTTATTTTATAGTTGTTTTAAATTATTTATTGTGTATCTAACTATATTAAAAGGGCGATATGAGAGCCAGAGAAGCTGTCCACGTATGCAAATATAATCGACCAATTAGAAAGCTCTATATTGCCACGTCATCTTGCTTAAGTGTTACGATTGGTTTGGTTCATCTTCTCCGCTTGAAAGGATAGCTGTTGAGTTATATCGATCCACCTTTGAACAATCAAGACTCCGCTACATCTCAATCAATAAATTTGTTCTTCATGGTTTCGTTTCAGATTTATCACGCGCACCACCAAAGCTCCGGTCCAAGAGGAGAATCATCACCGATGGGGTAGCAGATCTGCGAGAACCGCCTCTCGAAAACCAAATCACCGCCAGCAAGCTCCCTCACAGCCGTCGGAGACAAGCCCTAGAGTCCCGATGTCTATCTTTCGGCTTCCGGCAGAGTCTCTGCGTCCTCCAACAGAGAACCACCACCATCAACCGACCGAGCCACCAGAACTCCCGAGCCATCGTCGGAGCCACCGTGTTTGTTCTGCAGCCTATGTGCTACTTTCTGATGCGTATACTTCATCTCCGATCAAGAACATCGTGGGTCTGGTGCTATTAATGTTTTCTGGGAAATCGACCTCTCTATTCCGCCGTATCAAGTAGGAGATCAGCGTCTGAAAGTAAAACAACTATCACCGTTTTCAACAGATTCAGTGATCTTAGTTTGTAAAGTTCTTTCCTTTTTTGGTTGTGTATAAGTGTTGCCATGGTGAAATCGAGTAAAGATACGAGATACGCTAAATATTCAATGGTGACGCATGATGGAATTGGATTCCCTTGCTGGGCTCTTCCGGATCTTATGTCGTTTCCAGACATATTCGGACAAGATGGTTATGCCAAGGTAAAGTCTACGGTTGCTTTATGTTTCGGTCTTATTTTGCAATGATATGTATTGAAAGTTTGTGTTTTTTTTTTTTCTCTTGAAATGATTGTCAGCTTGATGTAATTGGCATTGAGGAAACTCAGTTCTTTGGAGATCTTTATGAGTTTTGCTGCAAAGTCGCTGATGATGATGGCAAAACTATTGTTGCAGGTCGTGATGGTGACTATTTAAGGTGCTTGATTCTGTTTCAAAAAGATGTGATTTGACAATTATTGTTCGACTGTAACTTGAATATGATCCTTTTGTGGGATAAATGCAGAAGGATCTTTGGAGCTGTTCTTCACAATATACCTTTAGCTGATTCTGTAATGAAGCTAACTGCAAGGTTTGAGGTTTGTGGACAGACGCTTTCTTCACTTTAAGAAAGACTTGTGACACCAGAACCGAGCTGGTCGGTGGAGCTGATGTATATATGCCCGTCTCTCATCACTCTGCTTTCACTTTGCTATCTCAGCATTACTGATCTCAGTTGATTTGTCATTTTGTGTACTTCAGTTGACTTGCTGAAACATCACTTGACAAAGATCTGGCCTTGTGTCGACGAGGTATGTTAGCTTCCCTTTGATTTTTTGTCAAGATCATTGAATTGAGAGAGATGTAATCAATGTTTCGTTTCCATTTGTTTAGGAAGTTTCGGAGCTTATAAGGGCATCAATGGAGCCTGTTCTCGAGCAATATACACCTGCCGTTGACATTTTCTAAGCTCACTCTCGGCACCGTGGCGCCTCATTTACAGGTTTGCTTTGTTTATTACTTTTTTTTAAAATGTAATTTTTGTGTTGTGATGTAACCAGAACTTGTGCTGTTGTAGTTATATTGAGTCAGCTGGGCATGCTCTTAGTGTATTTGTTAATGGCCAGCTTGCAGGTAAGATTCAGATAGGCCAAACACATCCTCATGGTAGCTTATCTTTGTCTTCTGTTATAAGAAAAATAATGTTTCAGGAACTGCTTACGGAAACATGGCGAACCCAAAGCTAACATTTAGTCAAAAGATCAAGTTAGCTGCAGGAGTCAACAAACTTGCTCTGTTAAGTATAGCAGTGGGTCTCCCGGTTAGTTCTCTTGATGAGTTATATAGTTCCTCTCTGCTCTTTTTGTCTGATTACAATCTGAGCGTGGCCTTCATGTATTGCTCACAGAACGTTGGCTTGCATTATGAGACTAGGAGTACTGGTGTTCTTGGTCCAGTAACATTGGAGGGAGTTAACTCTGGAACAGGGGACTCTGGAACTCTGGAAATTCAAGAGCAAACAACTTGACTTTGAGGCTTCTGCATCTTACCAACAATAATAACAATGTGTTTTCTTTGTGTGATTCAAGCAGATTGGTACCAAGGGTGAAGCTCTGAGCATTCATACAGTAACTGGTAGCTCCACCGTGGAATGGAAAGAAGGATCCTTGGTGGACAAGAAACAACCCTTGACCTGGTACAAGGTAAGAGAAACAGAGAGATCATGCATACGAACAAATCTAGATCATATATTCAACTCTCTCTTTGCTTTGCAGTCTACTTTTGATACACCAGCAGGTAATGAACCGTTGGATTTGGACATGAACACAATGGGGAAAGGTCAAGTTTGGATAAATTTTCAGAACATTGGACGCCATTGGCCTGCATATAAAGCACGTGATAAATCCGACCGCTGCAGGTATGCTGGAACTTTCAACGAGAAGACCTGGAGATCCTCCTCTTGATGATGTTGTCGACAAGCTTAAGCAAAGCAAGGATGGTGAAGATGGTGATGGTGATAACAAGAAGGATGCGACCAAGGATGAATTATGAGACTGAAAGTTTTATATCTTTATGAATCTTTAGCTACAATATCTTTGACATGTTTGGTTCATAGAATACAATACAAAGGGGTGATTGTTTTTTTATCTTTTCTGATGAGTTTGCACTCATTTAAGTTTCTTGCTAAATGTGGAAAGCTCGATAACCTGAATTCCTGGAATGCTTTCTAATGTTTTCAGTCAATGAATGATTTAAATATTATTTAATAACAATATATCTATTGAGCTTTTTTGAACACATTGATTGAGGTTTAAAAATTAATTTATGTTCACACACAATGTCTAAATAATGTATATATTAAAAACATTCTAACATACCAAGCGATTATATGTTGTGAGAGAATATTTGTTTTCATTTTCAAATCATCCTAATTGATTTAGGATTGTAACTTAAAAACGGTGTTCTCTGTATTAAGGCTACAAACAACTTGGTCTATCGCTGACTGTTAACAACTTAATAGCATGTGCAATTGT